ACATCTGTTGCTGAAATTGCTTGGCTCTTGTACAGTTTTTTAAAGATTTTTTGCTGAAGATAAATATTTGTTCATAATTTCCACTGTACATCATTCAATTCTTAAACATTTTGTTTAATTACACTGCAAGTAGTACTTTTAGGTATATTACAGAAAGGGAAACTATGCAGTCTACAAGACTCCACTTGTCCTTAGAAACCTCAATTTACTGCCTTTGCTCCATGACTTATACTTAAGATTAGTGTATAACTGCATTAAGAGCAAGATAAGAGTTTAAATAAACATTCATATTATTGGATACTTACATTTCCTTTATTTTTAAATATGAATTTAAAATGTACTTTAAAATTACCCTTTTGAAATGATCTAATGATAATTCAGCATCCCATCTCCTTTAGTTTAGATTTTTCCAAAATCACTACTAAAAGTAACACAAATTTCATAAGGAAGGAGTAAATCCCTCTGTTTCAACAGCTACGTAATTCATTGTGTGATGTCTGCATTTTAGATTCACTAAGCAGATAAAGTGTCTCGGGAACAAGTGACTGATAAGCCTATAAGCCTTTATGTCTTATTGTCACCTTAAATTAACCAATATACTCATTCAATTAGTGTTCCATTATTCTTCTGTAAAGTCAACTATTCAGCAGAAAATTAATTGAAATTGCAGGCATGCCCACAAATATCCAACTGTAGGAGGGGATCTGCTTCTGAAACTCACTGTAAAGCTAAATAAGCTTTATTACAGAATACAGAAACAGCATAAAGACTCATTTTTTGCAAAAATGTCATCTATAAGCATTTTCAAGTAGCAGCATTTATTAAAAGCATCGATAGAAGGTGCAGTATGGATGTGTACCTAAGAAAAAGATGCACTCCACATTGTATTAAAATGATATATTTGAAGCATTAAAGTGATTATAAGAAAACGTGGGGGGGGAAGGGGACTTTTAACAAAGTTAATTCAACTTCCTTCTTTATGTAAAAACTAAAGTATAGTATCTTAATATCTTGTTTAAATGACTGAACATATTTTACTACGCTATTGAAACAATGTTGATAAAAAATCCTATACACAAAATCTGTATTATAAACTGTTAAAGATCAATACTTTTTCCTGGTTTTTCTTCCATTGTAGAAATATGAAAATCTTCCACATGAAACATGTGCAGTAACTGATGTCCTTCGAGATGGTTGTTCCTCTGGGTGCTCGACTGTAGGTGTTTCAGTGCCCTGCACATATAATCAGAAATTTACGGCAGCAGAACCCTGAGTGGTGGCACACACACGCAACACAGCGAGCACTGAACCTTTGTGCGCTGTCAACCGCCCCTCTGTTCCTTATCTACACAGAGTGCAACTCTGAAGCACCTTTAAGAAGACACATGGCTAGGCTGAAGGATAGTACACAGTACTGGTCATAGTGGCCATGGAGGATAAAGAATAGGAATCCCCTGTATGATGGATCGATTATAATATGAAAGTATGCATCCCATAGATTGAGGGACAACATCCAATCTCCTTTCTGTAGAGCTGGACTATGTCTACCAACACAGCCATTTTGAAGTGTTGTCGCTTTATGGATGTTTAATTGACATAGATCCAAAATGGGCCACCATCCATTGCTCTTTTTGGAGCAGGAATAAAATCCCATCTCTTTCTGCTGTGCTGAAACTTCTTCTATTGTTCCTAATACAAGAAGGTGCTCTCTCTCGATGTAAAAGAATCTCTTGGGAAGGGTCAATGAAAAGTGCTGGGGAAGGTTATTGGATAGATGGACTAGACAGAAAAGGGATAAAATAGCTTTGTAGAATTATTGCTAGCACCCACTTGTCTGTTGTGATGTGTCTCCAGACATGGTAATAGGGAAGGAGCCAATCCATAAAAGTGCTGTGGTATTGTTGGTTGTCCTGTTGGAAAAGAAGTATGGAATTCTTGAACAGTATTTCAAAAATGACTGGCAGGAAGTGAGGGTTGGAATAATGTTGACTGCTTGTGAGTTTGGTGTCTGCATGGCTACTTTTGTCTGCAGTGCAGGTTGCATGCCCATTGTTTCTGGGAACAGGCAGCTGGGCAGAAATGGTAGATGTAATATCAGCCTTGTTTCTCTCTTGCTTGGAGAACATACATGCCTAATGTTTTGAAGATTGCCAATGAGTCCTTACGGGTAAAGATTTGAGGCCTTTGTCCCTCAAATGGAAGATCAACTGTTTTTTGTATTTCCTTTGAGAAACTGGAGAGGTGAAACCACAGTGTCCTGTGCATTGCTGTTCCCAAGGATCTGGCTGCAGCGTCTGCAGAATCAAGTGATGTCTGTAAGGCTGTTTTTGCAATGAGGTATCCCTCTGTTATTCTGGCTTCATATTGTTCTTTTGTATCGTCTGGTAAATGATAAATTAAGTTTTCATCTTTTCAAAAGGTTATTGGTGTTTTTAGACAACAAACCTAAATATTTGGAGATACAGAATTGTAATGAGGCTGAGTGATTTTATACTGAATATATCAAGCCTCTTCCAATCTTTGTCATAAAGTGTTGTCTTATATTGTGTGTATCTGCCATGCTGATGTACAGCATCAACTACTATGGAGTTTGGGTCTGGATGAGAGAATTAGAAATCCACTCACTTTGCTGAGACTTATTTGCAATCCACCCTTCAAATGAGTGAAATAGTTGCTAGAGTTTGCCAAATTATCCTGGCAGGATCCATAATGCCTCATTGATAGGTGAAGCAACTTTGGCAGATGGAGATGCTTGGAGAACGTCTGTTAAATTTGTGCTGGGTTTCTGGCAAGTCAGCCAGTGAAATATCCAGAAAGCCTGCCACCCTCTTGAAGAGGTCTTGAAAAGATTTAAAAACATCCCAGGCAGCTGAGGGTGGGGCATGACTGTTTCATCTGCAGAGGATGATGACAAGTGTGTAGGGGGCATGGTATCTGACTCAGGGGCATCATCTATGTTATATCAGGGCACTTCACATGGAGGCTGGATGGCTGGTGAAGGTGGCTGAGAGTCTGTTGCTTAGGGCATGGAAGGAGCAGACTGTTGGGCTCTATACATGGACCATGGGTCCCATTCCAGCCAAGCAGACAGCAGAGGAATAGGTGGAAGCCATGGGAATGGCTGGCATACTTGTACTGGTAACTGCAGTGGTTGTGGTTCCTGCTTTGGAGAGTAGATGAAAAACTGATCACTACTTTGTCATCTTCAGCATCGCTGGAAAGGGAGGGAACAGAGCTGGACGAAGTCAATATTCTGCTGGGTCCCCAGTAGATAGGGGTACCATTGGTACTGAAGAGCAGAGTTCTCAGAACCAAGGTGATAGCTAAATCCGCATGGGAAGTAAATTGCTGGCACCAATCTTTATGGTGCTACAGCCTCAGTATGGAGGCAGTCACCAGCAGTGTTAAGAGTGCTGGTGGCTGCTTCTATGACAGTGGTGGTAGCGCTGTTATAGTCTGTTGCATGGCAGTTGGTACCAGTGATGCCAAGGAGGGCAACTGGCCTGGGGATATGGTGCCATTTTAAAGATAACAGGGTTTAGGAAACAAACATTTTACTGTTGAATCCAGTGTTCTTGGCACTTCTGAATAATCAGGTACACCGAAATAAGTTGCTTAACATTAGGCAGTCATTAAAAATATTGCCCCACAATCATATAAACGCTCATTCAGTTGTCACCTAAATTCTATACCTGAATCAGCCATTATCTCACTACATCTTCCAGAGCTTGTAAGATTGTCTGGCTCGGTTTATCTTTCTATAGATATCCATTAATATATAAAATACTAATACCAATTTCAGAGAGTACCTTAAAGCTTGATTTTTGAATAAATTTCAAGTGTTTTTACAGTGCAGCTTCAATTACCTAAGGCTTATTTATTCTCAACACTTCATCTTAAAAGTGGCATTACATCCCCAGACATTGTTTACATTTAAAACTATACCATTTGCCTGACACTCACTCAAACAACATTCATATTCTCCATTCCACTTGGCTAACTGAGAAGACATGTTACATAAGTGTTGGAGTAGTACAGAATGAACATACATACTATGATGCACAAATAGTAGCTGGAGTGGTATGGATGAAGGGCTTTTGCATTCTCCTGCATCAATATTCTTGAAGCTTATATTATTTTTGAAAAAATAATATGTAAAAAGTAAGATTTTTTTTTAATATGACAGCAAAATAACCCAAACATAATGCTAAAGCAGATTTGACTTCATTGTAATGAAAACCATCATTCATAAGACAAACAGTTCTTGTCACAAACCTTTTACCATGCAGAATGCCTTAACTCTCTCTTACACAAAGAAGATGATTGCACGGCTGGTTGCATTTCAGTATAACTATAAACTCACTCTTAAAAATTTAGTTTGGGAATAAAAACCATTACTCGACACTGTTGCTGTAAGACAGTACACAAGATAACTAAAATATAAACATTTTTTCAACAACTGCTAATATTACTGAGTGCTGAATTTGACTGGAACAATTATAGGATTTGCTGCGTGATCACTGCAAATTAGGCAAGGATATCACATCTTAGATTAGGCAATACAAAACAGATTTAATGAGTTCAGAATAAGAATTACAACTTTACTCCCATATCAGTGGGTAGCAGATAAAAAAAAGCTTTTACATAAAAGCTACACATGGTTGCAAGCATTATATATTGCTTTAAGCAATGGCAAAGTCTAAGATAATGGGGATAGTGCTAAGGAGGTTAAAAACAAAAATCAAGAGAAAAATAATAGCTAACAAACAACAAGCAAAACAAAAAACACTCTCCCATAGCTTTTGGTAAAAGCAGTCTGAAACATCTTTTCTCCCTTAAGCAAAAGAAGGTGAAAGAAGGAGAATTCATATCCAGTTCTTACAGGTTCTGCTCTCCAAGAAGACTAAAAATATAGTGTGATCAGCATAAAATGCACTTGAATAATGATGTGTTTTCTATTGCAGTGTGCAGACCAACAAAATGCTGCCATATTAACATACCTCTTGTACTGAGCGAGCTGCTGGCTTGTCTTGATGATTGGCCAGTATTAGAAATGGCAGAATACATAACTGTGGGTGCTGAAGAGCAGAATGCAGTTCATTCCTCGCCGTTTCTAGATCATCTTCTGAGGAGGCACTGTCTAATACAAATATTACCCCTTGGGATCCTTGGTAGTAACGACTCCAGTACTTCCTAATAGTGTCAGCCCCTTTCAAAACAATAATGAAAACTAATTAATCAACAGGGAAAGTTAAATATATCAAATTTTCCGACCAGATAACACTATCATTTAGAATGGATTAAAGCAATAGGACAATTTTTGTGTCTACTATACATTCTGGGTAAACCTCTGAAATCAAAAATAGTATTTTTAAATCAGGGGAGAATTGGGTTGCCCTTTTGCTGTTTCCTCTTAATTAGCTAACCATCAATCTCTAAGCCTGTTTCAGTGCCACCGACTCCCACAGCTTTCCACTTACAAATAATGCTCCCTTTTCTTCTTTTTCCACTTGATCCTCTTACCGCAGCTCGAGAGTCTCATCCTGTGACTGTGTCTACTGATCCCTTTGAGTCCCCCTGCTGGAGGCCTTATGGGCCTACCACACCGTGACCCAGAAAAGGGGCAATGATGGTATGTCCTTCAGGACTGCCTAGAAAGGCTTCAGGGAAGCAGCCACAGTGCAGCAAGCTAAGTTAAAAGGAGTTTTAGGGCCTGAGTAGGTCAGATCCTGTCTGGGAACAGAAGGATGAGGAAGTCCTGGAAGGCGGACAAACTCTTCAGTCAAGGAGACGTGGGAAAGTTGATGCTTGATAGGACAGAACACTCCCAGCAAGGAGGGCTGGGAGAGTTCCTGCTCAAGCAGGGAACACAGAGAACCCAAGAAGGTGATGGCACTGAGTGACTAAACAGCCCAGGGAACAGCAGCAGCAACCAAGTAAAGGAACATTATGTGCCTGCTGTCTACAAGGTCCCTGGGTTGGGATCCTGAGTAGTGGGCAGGCATGGGTCCCCCGACCCTCCTCCCATCACAGGCAAAATCCTAAGCCCCAAGAAGGGAATAAGACACTTCATTAAAAGTTCAAGCTCTGGGAGGTTAAACAGGCCCAAGGCTGGGGTTGAAGACCCTGCAGAGGGCCAAGCCTTTGTTGAACTTTGTTACCTCAGAGAGGGACTGAACTTGGAGTGGCCTGGCCAGACAGATGCGGCAATAAGAACAATGAAGACAAAGTCTCCAAGGAGAAAGCAGAAGGAACATCATTCCAGGATAATTCTGATGTTATGAGCAACAGCCAACAAGAGGCATCATGAGCAACGTGTGTGCTATGCAGTTTCGCACCTAGCCGACAGAAAGCACTCACAAGAGGTGAGTGCACCCATCATTCCAGGATAATTCTGATGTTATGAGCACCAATCTATAAATGACCAGGTTTAAGAACAATTCTTCCCAAGGGAGAAGAAAATACACACATGAGAGTGATGTTGATGAAGAACAAATCAATCTCTTTTCATTCCAATGCACTGGAAGTCACTTTTCAGTGGGTAGTTTAAAGAACAAGAATAAAGTGATGCAGAGTACCATACTGTAACTTAGGCACCATATATACTGTCAATTGTATGAACTTTTCAACAGCAATTAGTTTGTAAACAGTAATAGAGATGTAGCCGTGTTAGTCTAGTCCTGTTTTTTGTTTCAGTTTGTAAACAGGCATTCTGTTGTACTAACGTGTTCTGTTTCATTCATTTGTACACTTTCTGTGGAAGGGATCTGATTTTCTAATATAAGTGAAGTGCCATGCAACTGTCCGATGCTACCCTGAAAAAAATTGATTATTTAAAAATAAAAAACAAAGACTAGGATTTATTTTGTAATTGTATATTTAATTAGTGGAATGGTTCCATGAAAACAATTGACACAGAAATGTCTGACACAGTCTGCGCTGTCAACATGTAATGCCCCCCAAGAGCTCCACCCCCTTCAGCAGAACACTATATGATTGGACCTCCAGCAACAAAATCTCAGTCCTATTACCAGTCTGAGTACAAGTTCTTAGAGGCATGTACTAATCCTTCTCATCAGTCTGAGACAATCATTAAAAGAGAACAACAGTACGAGTACAAGATGCTCTACAGGTCTCAGGGGGAGGGGGAAGTAGCTCGGGGTAGGGATGTTAGTGGCTAGTTGGATAAGCAATTTGTTTATCAGTTAAACCATTATTGGTTAATGATCCTAGTTAACCATGACACCTTCCTCCACGTACTCTGCATTTAAAACTCATACTAGCAGCCTGGCTCAGTTCCAGCTTGCTGATACAATTTTAAATCAAAAGCACGCAGGGGAGCCACCTGCCACCCAGCACTGCTGCCTCTGATAGAAGAAGCAGAATCAATACACTGGATACCGATACAGAGGCAGCAACACAGGATGGTAGGTGGGTGCCAGTCTATGCGGGGAGCCAGTTTAAAAATCTCTCGCCTGCCACTCTGCACTGTTGCCTCTATGATTTTCCCATATTTTAGGAAGAATATAGGTTGCACAGCATGTTGATGGAAAGTGTGGTTATATTGAAAAACTATTACTGTTCCATATCAACATCTCATAAATCATTTTGCTCTGCTTGCAAAGGGATTCAGTGTTGCAAAGCACTGCAACTTTTCCACATGCCCTTCAGTGTCATTTCCAGGTATACTGAGTTGCCACAGAAAAATCAGTGCAATCTTTCTGAGCTAATATTTGTGTGACCAGGAGCAGAGAGGACACAGAACGGGAACCTGAGACATGAGTTTTACATTACATGCTGGCCTATACTATGCACTTGCCTACCTCCACCACTCTTCAGCCTTTCCTTTCTTGAGTTTATTTCTGGATAAAGATTCCCAAGACTTCTGCTTCCTGGCTTCTTCATACTAACAGATTGATGTTGCATTCTCCTAGCATTGCAATTTAGGTGGCACCACCGCAGCTGTGTACTAGATGTCACGGGGATAAATCAGACTTTTCCCCAGAAGGAAACATTCAGAAGGCATATCTACAGGTATATTTACACTTACACCCTTTTTTGAGAGAGGGATGCAAATGAAGACATTTGAAATTGCAAAGGAAGCCGGGATTTAAATATCCCATGCTTCATTTGCATATTCGCATTATGGCACTATTTCGAAATAGCGCTATTTCGAAATAACAGACGCTGTTAAGATGCGGTTATTTTGATAGAAAACCCTTCTCTCGAAATAACTGGTAAACCTCATTATGAGAGGAATAAGGGTTATTTCAAGAGAAGGGTTTTCTCTCAAAATAACCCTGTCTTAACAGCGTCTGTTATTTCGAAATAGCGCTATTTCGAAATAACAGACGCTGTTAAGACAGGGTTATTTTGAGAGAAACTCCTCCTCTCGAAATAACTGGTATTCCTCATGCAATGGTTTTCTCTCAAAATAACCGCGTCTTAACAGAGTCTGTTATTTTGAAATAGCGCCATAATGCTGCTGCAGTAGTAAGCTGTTGCCACATAGCCATATCACATTCCTTGTGTCAGTGGAGAACTTCCTCACTGGCAGCACTTGCATCAATGCCTCATGAGACCAAAACGTTCTCACAGAGGGGACTGGGACTATGGCTTCAATGTCCCATGATGAAATGTTTTCCCTCTCTCCCCCGATTTCAAATGGAACCCATAACATTTTCTACCTTTTTTTTTCCAAAAGAGTGGTACAGCCACACGTCAAATCCCAGTAAGCATAGACTCCACTCAGCTGTTCACTACTGTTGTGAACATTACAAAACACTGCTTCTGCCTCACCCTGCAGCACAGGTTGAACCTCTCTAGTCCGGCACACGCACGTCTGGCAACATCCAGGGTCTAGCCTGATTTTAGTACCAAGACATTTCCTATGGTCCAATAAAGTTTGTTTACAGCCTGTCCTGGCTCTCAGTGTTCTGTGCTTAAAGGTCTCAGAGGGGTAGCCATGTTAGTCTATAACTTTAAAAACAATGAGTAGTCCTGTGGCAACTTAGAGACTAACAAAAATATATACAGTTTGAGCTTTCATGGGCAAAACCTACTTCTTCAGATGAGCTTAAGTAGTGGGTTATACCCATGAAAGCTCTGTTCACCCTCCACCCTCCTTGAACAAAACATAGATATTTCTCATTCTGATCTATAGTGGACAGACCCATAGTTGGTTATTTCCACTTATGGAAGAGGGCAGAGCCCTTAACAACCTATCTGTGGTTGTCTAAGAATTTCCTATCTATGTTCTGCAAGCCAGGTAGATGTAGAACCACTGATGAGATTTGGTGACAGACGCCACCTCCCATGATGAGCAGCTAGTTTGCAGAGGTCGGAATGTTGTGAAAACTAGGCAAATTGCTAAGTTCTAGGACATTTATGTGGAAGCAAGTCTCTTTGAGAGTCCATAAACCTTGAGTCTCTTTTCCCAAAGTAAGCGCACGCACGCACATGCACATGCACATGCACGCATACTTCCTTCATCCTTCCTTGCCTTTGATTATCTCTCTCACTTGCCTTTGGATCCTTTCCCATGTCTCTACACACTCTCTATACATTGGTAACCAAAGATTGGACACAGTACTCCAGCTGAAGCCTAACCAGTACTTAGTAGAGTTATACTATCACTTTTCCTGGCTTGCATACTATACCTTTGTTAATGCAACCAAAAATTACATTTGCCTTTTTTCCCCACAAGAGCATTGCTTTGCGGACTTATGTTAGGTTGTGATTCATCACAACTCCCATATCCTTGTCCACAGTGTTGCTACCACCAACCAGTTATCCCCCATTCTGTATTTGTTTTTTCCCTCCCTAAGCATAGCACCTCGTTTTTGTCTTTGTGGCATTACATTTAGTTGATGTTTCCTGTATAAATACAAAGATTTGCATGGCGTGCAGGTGAAATCTGGCACACTGAGGGAATATTTAGTCTTGGGAGAAAAAGACTAGAAGACATCAAATTTGGTAAGGGCTATTATAAATAGGACAGTGATCAAGTGTTCCACTAAAGGTAGTACATAAAATAATCAGCTTAAGCTGCAGCAAGGGAGATTTAGGTTCGGTATTAGAAAAAACTTTCCAACTATAAGGATACGTAATATGCTATCACTGGAGGTTGTGGAGTCCTGTCAGAGGTTTTTAAGAACAAGGCACTCTGAGTCCAGAAGATGGGGCCCACCAGAGACCTTAAATACCTTG